ATGCATTAAGTTCAAAAGCATAAAGAATTTTGAGCAAAATAACTTTAATAATTAAAGAATGCATTCATGTAGTTTTTTTATGAAACTAATGATGTGCAGAAGAAAGCTTTTACTGATGATAATGATGCAAAGAACTTTGAAAAACAAATGGAAGAAATGAGTCTAGAGAATAAGGAAAATCGTGAAGAAAGCTTGTATGAAAGAGAATCAAAAGTTCCACCTTTAGAAGATCTATAGAGAACTGAAAACTAACACAATGTTCTTCCAAAAAGTTAGAAATATAAAGACCACCCATAAGAGCAAAAGGAGTTAAAGAAATGTTAAAGAAACATGTGAATACCTGGCCTTCATTTCTCAAGTTGAGCAAGGATTTTGGAATAACCATGCACAATATTCCCATATTTTGTGATAACACAAGTGCTATAAACATCTCTAAGAATCCAATTCAGCACTTTAGAATAAAACACAGTAAAATTCAACATCACTTTATTAGAGATCGTATGCTTAAAGGAGATACTAAGATTGAATTTGTTGATACTATGCATTAATTTTCAAATATTTTCACAAAACCCCTAAGTGAAGAACAATTTTGCAAAATTAGAAGAGAATTGGGGATGCTTAATATAAATGAGCTTTAGATAAATCATTCACCATATACAATTTAAGTGATCTGTCAAAAATATCACTTAAACTAAAGGCATATACTAAATGAGATACCTCTTGCATAAATGAATATATTAAACAAGTCAGTAGAGACTTAATTGGTTAAGAAAACCATCTAATCGATTAAGACATTCTGTGTTGATCAATATATTCAAAGAGCTTGATTTAGTTGGTTAAAAATAAGACTTAGTCAGTTAAGAAACTAATATAAAAATGAGGGAAAAAGAAAATTGTCCAACTCTAAAAATCGAATCAATAAAAATAAAGGCTGAAATTTTGAATTTCAAAAAATAGAAAAGTCAAATCTTATTTAATGGGGGAAATAAATAACTTCCCATCACCCCTTCATATCCTTTTCTCTTAAACAGTCCCTTCAAAACCTAAACTCCTTCCCACAAACTCTTCAAACATCACTTCAAACCCTAAGTCAAAAACAATTGAGAACAATGGTCAAATCCTCCTTGCCAAGTGATGCTCAGGAAAAGAAAAAAGGTAAAGGTCCTATTAAGGAGAAACCATCACTGAAGGCTTAAAAGAAACAAAAAAAGAAATACCTAGTACTTAGTAAAATTAGAATTTAGATTTTAATTATTTAAATAAAACTAAATTGTTCTAATTTTAGTACTTAGTAAAATTTTAGATCAATTTCCTGTGGGATCGATACTCTGCTTGCTAATATACTATCTATTCGATACGTATACTTGTATAGTAAAATTTTAACTGGCACATTCCCATTCTTTAATGTCTAACTATACTACTTAACTATGCAAGATAAAAATATAAGTCACTTAATGAAATAATCACTTGAAAGCAAACATCAAAACTCTTCAAAATAAGGGATCATAAAATGAGTTACAAACAAAAGCCTCTTAGTCTGTTAACCAAGGGAGTTAGTTAGTTAAAATCTAAGAGTGAAGATTCAAAGTGAAGGTAGTCAAATTTGTGAAGAACAATTCAAGAAGTTTTGCATGACTAACATATCTCATGGCTATTTAAAGGCCATGGGAGATCAGCATTAACAAGCTAAGAAGAATTAGTCAAACAAAGAAAAGTTTGTGAAACTGGTTGCTTTAAAAACAGTAATCTCTTAATCGATTAAAATCTTTCTTAATCGATTAACAGGGTAAAGCAGATTGGGAGATAGAGAAGACTTAATTGACTAAGTATGGTTAACCAATTAAAACCTCACTGTTAGAAAATTTGAGTTTGAATGTCTGAAGACAAACTAACAGTTAGAAAGGATTTTAATTTTTTTCCAATAATAAGAAGTTGTCAAGCATCCATCAGAGCTGATTTTTCAAGTATAAAAGGAATCTCTAATTGCTAAGAAGATCATGATGTGCTTCCAAGAACCAAAAAGAATTAAGAATTGCAAAAATGCTCTCACTCCTTCTTTTAGTATTTCACTCAAATCTTTCTAATAAAGTTTAACACCTCATCTAATACTATTCAGATCAAGTTAGTGATCATGACTACATCTTCATAACTTTATTCCTAGATTACTTAGAGTGTGCGAGGCACCCTAAGAGATTTGATCAAGCTTGGAATAGCTTGGTTGTTGTTCTAAGTTCTAACTTAGCCTTAGAAAAATTAGTTTGGGTTTTTGGTTGATCCAAGAAAAACCATTGTTAAAGGTTGTGGATAAGCTTATGAAAAGCCATTGTAAAAGCTTGGTGGAAGCTTGTGAATTCTACTAAATTTAGTGAGGTAATTTAGAAATCCTTGATTGAAAGATCAAGGTAGTAGATGTAGGTCAAAAGGACCAAATCATTGTGTTTCGTTTACTTTCCTCTATTTTCTTCTCACTCTTGACACTTAAATCATTCTTCCAACAATCTTTGAACTTCCACTTTCAAATTCCCTCCATTAGCCTTATCATTCAAAAATTGCTACTCATCCCCCTTCTTGCACACTCTTTAGGATGAACATAACTATGTGTTGAATTATCCTTAGATCGCCATTAAAGTAAGAATTGATAATAGCTACTCTGTTAGAAACAAGGAAAGTTGAATTGTCACTGTAAGAAAACCACTTATCATAGTGAATAGGGCATTTTGTTTGAATATTGAGATTAATGCATGTTTGCATAACGCATGTAAATGAACTATCATGGAACATGATTGGGTGATATATTACCTAGTTAGAGTATGCCTAGGCCAATGAGTTAAGTGAACTTGTTGATATTGAATGAGCACATAGTGGTGATTGTGCTTGAATGTATATTTTGTTCGAGGTTGTGTTGTTACCTCGTCGATGTGATGTATAAGTTTATTGCCTAATGCTTTGATATTATAAATGTGTATGATTGTTATTGCCCATACATATTATTGTTTCCTGTGAATTTCAAATGTAAAAGTGATGAACTGTGATTAATGATTACTACATTAGGAATGGCAAAGTAAACATTAAGGTGTGTAAAATTTTCATTCAATAAGCATATTCCAAATGATGATATGGTCTAGTTAGAAGGCATCGCGATCCCCATGGTCTAGTTTACCATTAATGGCCTTGGCCATGGACATGTCTTGTTACTCGTGAGGACCTTTTTCTTGTTACCATCATGCTAATAGTATGTGGATGCTAAGAAGCTACTAGTAAGCTATTTAATGAGCAAATGTGTGCTCTGATGGGTTTCACAAATTACTACGTATATGCATTTCATTTATTTGCATATGGTCAAAAGACCTATCTAGTCTCTGTACTCTTCAGTTTTATTCAATTTGCTCTCTGTACTCAAAATCAAAGTAATTTAGTCCCTTAATTTTGGAAATTACATCGATTTACTCCTTCCCCCTAACGGTATCCAATTTTACTGTTAAAAGATGGTGTCATCATTGATGTCAATGATGATGACAGCATTGACAAGTCATTTTTGATGACGTGTCGTTGAGATGATGATGTGGTATGCCACGTGGCACCAAGTGACGATGTGACAATGCCATGTGGCAATATACGATAATGTGGCAATGCTGACATAGCATTGAAATGTTGGCATGTCAGTGCCACATGACAGATAAAAAAAATTCAAACAAAAAAATTCTGCCACATCATAAGGATTAAAGTGAACAAAAATATATAGTACAAGAACTAACTTGGAAAAAATTGAGATGTTGACGAACTAAATTAAAAAAAACATTTGAAAAATACACATCTTTAAGTAGATTTTATTATTGATATTGTAACACCTCGTACCCTCGTATAAGAGCCAATATGATCTCATCGACGATACGGAAGGTTGATGGATGTAAATCTAGATGCGAAAAAGCAGTGATAGGTGAAAGGAATATGTTGGAATAAAATATTCTGTACGTGAGAAATGATAATTAAATAATAATATTTTACCAAGGATGAATTAGTGAGATAAAAAGGTAATTCTAAAGTGAACCGGGACAAAGTGAGATATTTTGGGTCCGGACGAGATAAGTTGAAAAATTAAGAATAAAATAATATTTTATTAATAAAATAATATTAAAATATTAATATTTTATCTATTATTGAAATTAGTCGTAAAGAAGAAGTATATGACTAATAGAAGTGGGGGAGAAGAAGTAAGAA